ACACACACACACACACACACACACACACACACACACACACACACACACACACACATAACACATAGAAACACAGATAAAGTGTATATTTCGTTCGACGCGAAAAGTGTGTCTTCTGCCCACGCATTATTCTTTTGTTTGCTTTATGCTTGACATAGATGATAAAAATGAAATGCTATTCTTTTAAATAGCGTGCGCATATGAACGAAAGAGAAAAAGAGAGATGGAATGTCGAGATGCGTTTTGTTACGGTTCGTTACGTCGACAAAGGATGCCGATGATTTTTCCGCGATTGTCAATTATGTATTTCATACATTGTTTTAATTTTTGTTTGTTTTTTTTTTTTTTATTATAGTCCTGGTCTCTTTTTTTCAATTTTCATTAGACAAATGGTATTGAATTGCAAGTCACGAAGGAATAGTCACGTTTAGTTAGATAAATCCAGAGACAGGAAAAAAAGATTGATAGGATATTTCATTACAAATTTAGGACTTTTATAAGTTTATATATATATATTTACCTATCCATTGAATGTTCGTACACTGTTACGGTTACTAAATTTTTGCATGAAAACTATTCATTTAATGTGTTTAGGATAAAGATAATTAAGAAATAAATACATTAGTATACCTTTATAACATATTTATGTGTATATAATTAAGCAAATGCGAAAATAATGTACAAAAAACGCCCTCACACATCTAAAAATCGTACTTTTATGATAAAACAGTAAAAACAGAGGAATACCATGTCTAAGGATTGGTCATTCTTTTCTTTTTGCTTTTATTTAAATGTTTTTTATTATCAAAATCAGTTTAATATCCATTAAAGTAAGAATAATATAAAGTACATTTGTTAAAAAATTACTTATCAATTAAAATATTTCAAATATTAAACAATTTTGATCTGATATTTATTTATTAAATTAAAATTTTCAACTTGAAATTATCACTGACGTTCAAAAAATGTATATTAATTTAAACAATCTTAAATATTAATAAAATCTATTAGAGTATAAAACATATCTTAAATAAATGTTAATTAATTGAAAAATATGTTAAATGTAGTTTGAAAGCACGGAATATAAGTTCAACGTAACGTCCTCTTAGAGATTCACCTTCAGACTGACAGGTTGTCATCTGTCAGATTCTTTTATTCAATCTTGTTTATATGACTTTCCGAATGTTACACATGTGTGTAACGGTAATAATCTATATAATTAATAGAATTTAAGATTATAACGTTCTAATTTTAGCATTTTTACACACGCGCAACGTTCGGAAAGTTATATAAACAATATTATATGTAAGAATTTTGACAGAAGACCACCTGTCAATCTGAAAGTGCATTTCGAAGTGGACAGTAGATAAATCGTATATTTCGTTCTTTTAAACAACAATACACATTCCTTTCGATTAATTAACAATTATTTTCATATTTTAATACACTCTACTTATATTACAGGAAATTTTTGTCCTCGAAGTAATCACTTTGCAGCAGCGATAAGATAATTACATTAGAATGTAAAAATGCTAAAATTAGAACATTAAAATCTTAAATTCTATTAATTATATAGATTATTACCGTTGCACACATGCGCAATGTTTAGAAAATCATATAAACAACGTTGAATAAAATAATTCTGACAGATGACAACCTATCAGACTGAAGGTGAATTTCGAAACGGATGGCTCGTCGAACTTATATTTTGTGCTTTTAGACTACATTAAACATTTTTTTCAATTAATTAACAATCATTTAAGGTATGTTTAATGCTCTAATAGATTTTATTAATATTTAGGATTGGACTAATATTTAATATTGGATTTTAAAGAAATAGGCTACGAAGACTATGAGACTGGAGAGTCCCGTTCAGGGACGGAAACACTGACGGGATTTGGTATTTGTGGTAATAAACTTTCGAGTTCCTAATGCCAATTAATAATAATGTAATAATTTAGGATTGTTTAAACTAATATACTTATTTTAATGTCAGCGATAATCTCAAGTTAAAAATTTTAATTCAATAAAATATCAGAATCTGATGTATTATATTCGAAGTATCTTAATAGATAGGTAATTTTTTAGCAATACTTTACATTATTCTTACTTTAATGGGTATTAAAACGATTTTGATATTAAAAAACATTCAAATGTTAGTAAAAAAAAAGGATAAAATGTTATCCCCACATACACGATTTTAGGTTTCTTCATTATCTTCATCCTAAGCAAACTATATTAATTGTTTTCAAGTA